ATTGCATATAAAACTGAAATTCCAATGTACCACTTAAAGAAGTTAAATGAAATGGATTTTCAGTTAGCCACAAAACTTTCTTTAGTCCCTTGTAGTATATATATATATATATATATATATATATATATATATATATATATAGTTAAATGGCAACATAGGTAAAATGTAATGTTTCCTCCTAAGGTCATGTATGTGATATATATATATATCATATATATATTTTTTTCCTATTTCAAAATTAATCCATCTTGGTTCTTCTCCCATAAATCATCTTATAGTTTGGAGCAGATAAGAGTGATCGGATTTATGTTGACCTGCCTGACATGGAGAAAATCGCAAATGTTCTACAGGACTATCTTGATGATTATAACCTTATAAATCCCAAAGAAGTAAAGTTGGTGTTCTTCCAGGATGCTATAGAACATGTTTCAAGGTATGGTGCTATAAGGTGCTCAATAATACATTCATCTAATTTGTTTTGTATTCAAGGTAATGATTCAGTTGTGCAAAACTCTTTAAATAGCTTGCTAGATGTATGAAGTCTATAACAAATTTTGCTATAATTTAAAAGTTATTTTTTGTTATATTTTAAATATATATATGTACTAACTTTCTGTGGAATCTCAGAGGCTATTATCTTTGCTAAACCTTAATAGATTGTTTTTGTTTTAAATGTCTTGGATCATTACAAAATGATCTAACATGTTACCAGAGATACATGCCCAGTATAACAAGGCTGATTCTATGCATGCCTAAAGAAAGAGAGGGTTCAAGATTATAGCAAAACAAGTTGAATGCAAGGATAATAGATTCTATCTGCTTATGAGTCTGACTCTCACCCATTGCAAGTATCCTTTGAGAGACATCCCTGACACCTAGATACCCAGCCTGAATATCTACAGTCCTTAGAGTACACACCACTTTTTGAAATGGCTTTTGTCCTGTTGGACAATTCCATGTTAAACTGACCCTAAGGTCAGTAAATCAAAATCCGCTCCTTGTGACTTCTGGTACAAGTTCCATCCTGTCGAGCAGTAATAATAATGGTATTCAATGTGAATATAAAACCATGATATGAAGCATCTCATTTAACTGTGATAACATCTTTCTGTGGCTCAATATCATAATCTCTCTACAAATAAATCTCAGAGATTGTTCCAGTGACCTTTTGCTATATAATAAGTCACTGTGATGTAGAGTTTAATTCCGTCTTATAAACACACATACAACTCAACAGACATAAATTCATTTAACAATTTGGTGTATGAAGCCCCTACTATGTGCTATGTGCACTGTTGCCATAGAGAACAGGACAGCATCCAAGCCCTCCTGATGGAGCTCACAAGTGGTTAAAGAGGTACCAATGATTTTCTCCCATTAGTTACAATGACCATGTTTTGCTTTCCTAATTAAAAAAATAATAAAGCCATTATCTTTTTCAAATATTTGAACTTTGTTTTCTCCAATTATCAACATCATGAATAAAATGAGACAGATAGATAGATATATAGATATGATGAGAGAGAGAGAGAGACAAATTAAACCTGCTTTTACATTTCACTCATGATTTCCTACTTTCTGGTGACTCAATCTGAGATTTTAAATAATGGTGATGATAATTTTTTAAATAGGAAAATTATTTTTACATATTTATTTTTTAAGAAGAATTCATTAGCATTCTCATTACCTTTTTATCATCTTAACAATAGTATACAGATTTGACTCTCATACATACTGTTCACTTTTATACTGTGATCATTTCCCCCTTCTTGAGTTTTTAAATTTTATTCATACTTCTCTATATATTTTCAAGGAATCTTTTAGGAAGGGTTGGTAAATGGCTTACTCTCTAAGCAATAACATGATAGCTTTCCTTCTGTAACCTTTGTCTTATGGAATGCCATCTTATAAAATAGATGCCTGGGGTCAGCCTAAAATTATTTGTCTCTTTGGTAGTAATCTATTATATCTGCTTTTTAGATGTTCACAAAATTTTCAGATATGTCTGAAATATAGATTTCTACTATACATGTCTACATGTATGAAATATACATATATATGTGTGTGTGTATATATATATATATATATTCAGCAATGAGGGATTTTTTTCTATTATTTCAGTCACTTTTATATCAATTTTATCTCCTCTTATCTCTCCTTCTGCAATTCCTATTGCGATCCTCTGGGATCCCATTTGTTTCTCCCAGATATGTCCTCCTTATCTTCCATTTTTTCTTGGCATTTAAATATTGTTATCCTTTTTCTCTGAGTTCTGGGTAAATTCCTAGAGTTTGTCTTCTACTTCACCTATTCAATTTTCTATGGTATCCTATTTGCAAGACCAATCTCCCACTGAGGTCTTTGATTTGGTAGTCAGATTTTTCCACCTCCAATCAATTTTTCCTAAACTCAGATTTTTTTCTCCTTTTCTGAGTGCTCATTTAATATTATGATTACAATGATTACAAATTTAAATTCTTGTTGTTAACATGAATCAGAAATTTTCTAAAATTTTGTCAATATGTTAGTAATATAATAATAAATTCATTTTAGATTTTTCCCATTGATCTCTCCTTCTGAACTACAATGTCTTTTCCTAGGTACATGATTTTTCTGCTTGCTCATCCTTATAAATGGAGACCATTGCCAAAATAATGGTTAACATAAGTAGTTGCCTAGATCAGTGTTTCTGACAAAATCCTTCACACTTTGAGAACTGACTCCGGGTGGTGAACACACAGTGTGATATATAGATGATGTAATAAATAAATAAATAAATAAAAAGTAAGTAAGTAATCCTTCACACTTTGAAGAAGAGAAAAGACATGCACTTTACTCTAAATTTGCATGACCAAGTCTAATCGCATATAGGAGATATGGAAGAGATGGATATAAGGAAAAGTCCAGCAGCACTTCTCTCCCAAATGTGAATCTCAGACATACCCTGATCTTTCCTGTGGCCTTTTGCTCAGGGATGACACTCTGCTAGCCACTAGCCTTCCACATTGGAGCAGACTCTCTGAGCATTAGCCACATCTGTGCACTTGAAGTAAATGTTGATCTGATTTGTTTCCTGCAGAATTGCCCGCATGATTCGTCAGGAAAGAGGCAATGCCCTGCTCGTTGGAGTAGGAGGCACCGGCAAGCAGTGTCTTACCAGACTTGCCGCTCACATATGTGGTTACAAATGTTTACAGATTGAACTGAGTCGGGGATATAATTATGATAGTTTCCATGAGGACCTGAGGAAGTTGTACAAACAAGCTGGTGTAGATGACAGGGATATGGTTTTCCTCTTCACGGACACACAGGTATGTATTTCATTAATGAGAGTGTAAATACAGGAAAAGTGTGAGTGTTACAATCATGTCTATGCTTGAATAGTTTGTATGATGTATAATAGTTCAGGCACTTGCTTCCTCTGATAACAGATTTCTTGGACGTTAAAAAAGTCTTTTATAACACATTTTTATTTATTTTACCAACTACTGTTTACCCTTTAAATTCTAAGTAAATAAACATGATCAAAGGTTAAGGGGATGAGAGGTTTTAACTTTTCTTTGAGGGGGAGGACATAGATAGCAGAAGGTAATAAACTATTTCTGCAAATATATGGTCATGGAAATAGAACTGACTCTGGGTGGTGAACACACAATGTGATCTATAGATGATGTATTACAGAATTGTACACCTGAAACCCATGTAACTTTGCTAACAATTGTCACCCCAATACACTTTAAAACAAAATAAAAACTATTTCTGTAAAGGTAAATATAAGAAAGGAATTCCCCTAACTGAAATCAATTACGGAAATATGCTTTACTCAAAAAAAGAAAAATAATGTTTTAGGGTTAAATTAACTTTAAAATTAAAATAGAATTTACATCTATGTCTACAGCAACCACTTGAACTGATCTTGAATTTATTCTATTGTAAAGGATTTCTACATTGACTACACTTGGGTATTTTAACATTAGGGAAAAATAAACCTTTATAGAAATTAGCCAGGGGATTAAAAAAGTAATAGATCTGATGCATAAATATTTTAAAGTTCATTTTACTTTTTAAAACACTATAAACGGGGGGCCGGCTGAGTGGCTCAGTTTGTTAAGAGCATGAGCTCTGAGCAACAGAGTCGCCGGTTCACTTCCCACATGGACCAGTGAGCTGTGCCTGAACTGTGCTGCTGTTGAGCTGCCAACAGGCTCAGTTGGTGAGAGCATGCGCTCCTAACAACAAGGTTGCCAATTCAACACCCACATGGGATGGTGGGCTATGCCCACCTGCAACTAAGATTGAACAGGGCACCTTGAGCTGAGCAGCCAGGTGGCCGGGTGGCAACTGGACTTGGAGCTGAGCTAGCTGCACCCTCCACAACTAAGATTGAAGGACAACAACTTGGCTGTTCCTCTTCCCCAATTCCCCAACACTGTTTCCCTTACCCAAATTCCCCAATAAAATCTTAAAAAAACAACAACAAAAAAAAACCACTATAAATGGGATTAAGTACAATCACAAAATGGGAAAAATATTTTCAACATCTGTGACATGCAGTGAGTTTGTATCTGAGTATATAAATATTTTTTTACAAATGAGAAAGGACCCATAGTCAAGTGTGTATACCTCACTTGCTCTAGTCACCACCAATGCTTGCCCTGGTCTCTGGCCACTGGACTTAGGGGCACCACTGAGGACCCCAATAGCCCTTGTAGCCACTATGGAACCCCTGCAGTGCTAGCAAAGGTAAACATAGTTGTCAATACTGTGGACCCCATTGCCTGAGCCAAAGAGACATAATACCTTCCTGGACCCAGTGCTACCACAAACCTCTGCACTTGGCACCCTGCACCACTAGACCAGGGGTTACAGCATACTCCAGCAGGCCTCCACCTTCAGGTGAAAGTCTTCTCTTACCAAAGTGAGCCCATAAAGTCTGCTTTTTCAGTGTGCAGACACCTATGTAAGTCTACATGGATCGTTAAGAACCAGGAAAACATAACTCCACCAAAGGAATACAATAAACCTCTAATAACTGGCCCCAAAGAAACAGAGAGCCACAAATTGCCCCACAAATAATTTAAAATAATTGTTCTAAAGAGACTAAAAGAGCTACGAGAGAATACAGATAAACACTCTAACAATATCAGGAAAATAATATTAGAACAAAATTACAGACAGCAACATCACCAAGATGGAGAGATATAGGTGGCTCTCAACTTCACTTCCCCTCACAAGAACAACTAACAATTATTCATGGACAAGACACCACTAAGAGAATCCTAGAATGAGGAGGGGAGGCTGAATCTCTCTCTCTCCCTCTCTCTCTCTCTCTCTCTCTCTCTCTCTCTCTCTCTCTCTCTCTCACACACACACACACACACACACACACACACACCAAGACAGNAGTGTCACTGGCCCGCATATGTGGGATCCGAACCGGGGCCCTCTGGCATCCCAAGCCAGTTCTTAACCATCGCGCCACTCGGCTGGCCCAATATTAAATATTCTTAATCTTAAATCTGGGAGATTATCGGCAATTGAGGCAGCGGGGGAAAAAAAGAAAAAAAAATCTGGGAGATTATCAACTAAACTGAAGTTGTATGGTGTTAATGTGGCTTTCTCTCAGTTTCATATACTAATTAAAGCTTCTAAGTAAAGTAATAGCTAATATTCTGTATATTTATTATTAAAATACTGCATTCAATCTTATATTAAAATTGATTTTGTTTTTTTGAATAGACAAACATTTTGGAATTGCAATTGATGTAGAATATTTTTTAACAAGGCCCATCATATTTGGAGATTTCATTAAGGCAAGTATGTTTTTGTAATGACTTAACTATATTTAAAGATTATAATTATATAAATATTACAGTCATAAACTCAATCATTTGAAGATTATAAAGTTCAAGTTCATCTACAAGAACTTTGCACCTGTGAAGATTAAAGATTTAGATGTAGGGTCAGCAAACTATGGCCCATAGGCCAGATCTGCCTACTGCCCATTTCTGTAAATAAAGTTCTATAGGAACACAGTAATGCCCATTCCGTTTGACTGTGTATTATTTATGTGGTTACTTTCACATTACAAGGCTGAATAGAGTGGTAGTAACAGAAACTATACAGCCTGTAAAGCCTGAAATATTTACTATGTGGCCCTTTAGAGAAAAATATTGCTAACTCCTGATCTAGTTACATTCATTTTGATAATAGTTTGAATCAGAGACCCATCGGGTATTCAATTTGTAAGGAGATTGAACTGGACTCCCCCTTTATACTCTGTGTACCTGTGCATCCTTCGCTCAAATGCTTGCAGTAATGGGAAGCTCATTAGTTCACAGTGCTGCCCTCTTCATTTCAGGGTAGCTCTAATTAGTAGTAAAAATTTCCTTGTATTAAGTTCCTCAAGTCTGTTCCCCCAACAACATCCATACACTGGCCCCAATTTTCCCCTAATGACCTGCCTAGAATAAGTCTTCCATCTAACCACCCTGCCTTTGTTCACAACTTGTTTTACAAGTTGGCTCTTGTTTGGGTTGAGCATTCCTAGTGTCTGCAGGAGGAAGAGCCCTCTCTGTTTTGTTCACCCGAAATCCCCAGCTTCCTGCACAGAGCTCCGTATACAGCGGGCTCTCTATCAATGCTGGTTAAACAAGTGAATGAACTCGTCTTTATATTGTACTATATGTATGCAACTCCTCACCACTCTGCTAACCCCTGACAAATAAAAAAAAAGATAAACAATTTATTTGTGTGAAATAGAGCTATTTAAATGTATTAATAAACACAGAGTCCAAAATTTGTTTTCAGGTGGTGATTGTATTTCCTGTGTGTTTCCAGTAACATTATTATCAAACGGGGGACTAAAGCAAAGGAAAGAACAGTTACACTCTTCTTGTATTGCCTACATTTTAGTCCAAATGAAAATGTCCCCAGAGCAGTTGCTACAGTAAAGAAAAGACATCAAGAGGTCCAAACAACACCTCAGTTCCCTATAGTTTGCACCACATTTCATTCTCAGTGACTTATTTAATTAGATGACTGCTGTGTAAAAACTATATATCATTCTGGCATGATTTGTTATAACAGTCTGCCATTTATAATGTTCAACCCATTTAGCTTTTATGATGGCAACAACCTAAGAGCAAAATTATGAAAGCAGAATAAGGTATAGCGAAAAAAAAATTTTTTAATTTAAAACCTATTTCTGAGCTCCTCCTGTGTGAATATTATTGCATATAAAACTGAAATTCCAATGTACCACTTAAAGAAGTTAAATGAAATGGATTTTCAGTTAGCCACAAAACTTTCTTTAGTCCCTTGTAGCATATATATATATATATATATATATATATATATATATATAAATGGCAACATAGGTAAAATGTAATGTTTCCTCCTAAGGTCATGTATGTGATATATATATATATCATATATATATTTTTTTCCTATTTCAAAA